TGCTGGGGGCTGACCCGGCACGGCGCTGGGGTTGGGAGGGATGGGATGAGCGGGCGACCTTCAGCACAAGGGCGGGCCGAGCTGCTGCCACGGGCAGCCCGTTCCCGGGCAGGGAACAGTGAGTGACAGAAAAAAAACACGTCGTGCAACTTTGAAACGCCCTTGCCAAAGTGCAGGCTGGAATTCCCAACGTGGAAGGCTGGGGAGAAGTGAGCAAACCCAGGGGCCTTGATGGTGTGCTCTGAAGGATGAAAAAAAGAGGCAAGAAGATTAGTTGTGTGTTTATCCCTTTCAGATCATCCTTAGGCCTGTCACACTGTGCCCTGCAAAGAGCAGCTCTTGGGCTTCTCCTGCAAGGTGTATTTCTTGGCAAAAGGCAAGATGCAGCTGTGACTAGGATAAGCTGAAGCCTCTCAGAGTTGCAGGCATAGGCAAGAACCATGATGGTGCAGGTGCTCTCCAGAACCCTCAAACTTTTTTGCCGTAGCACAGGTAATTTCTTAAAAAGGAAATTTGTAAGAACGAGCTCCACTTTCTCACAGAGGTCACTGATTTGAGCGTTTCCCATCTGCTTTGCATAGTTTCACAGCTACCCCCCACGGAAGGAACCGCTGCAGTCATTTTGGAGACACCTTGTTGGCATGCTCTGGCCTGCAGCTGTGCTACATTTCTGCTCTTCCCGACCCCCGCTGGGAGCTCTTTCACTCTCCATAAATTAGAAGCAATTTCCGTGCACTCCAAGCTTAGAGTTAGGCACGTGCAGTTCTGGCTGGCCAGAGCAGGCCCCAAAACACGCTGCCTGGGGCGGCGCCGAGGCTGCTGGGGAGCTGTACGAGAGCAGGGCCCGACTCTTCCTGGAACCAGCAGGTTTTGCCCATCTCTGGTTGCTCAGATGCTGCAGTTTCCTCATCTGAAACGTGACGTTGTGTAATGCTAACAAAAGCGCTCCCTGGCACCGTGTGCCACCACCTACAGAAGAGGAGTGAGGTGCGGCGTGAGCACGATGTCGGTGGAAAAGGCTGTAACAAAAGGCAGTGAGACCTTCACCTGGCTTCACCTCAGAGCAGCGCTCAGCTGAGCCCCGTCGTGTCTCTCAGAAGCAGCTGGGGCGTTGCTGGTGTTGGCAGGAGGGGGCAGGGCTGGTGGCACGGCAGGTGGGGGAGCAGCAGAATTGCCTGTGACAGTGTGGGGGCATTCCGAGCGCCAGCGCTGCCTGCACAGCGCAGCCATTCCCTGTGTGCCAGACCTGCAGGGCTGCTGCTGTCCCTCAGCCAGATAACTGGGAGAGCAGGAGTTATCCAAACGCAGCCAACTTACCTTTTTCCCCTTCTTATGGCTTTCTTCAGCTTTGGCTGTGGTTTGTCACCTATCAGTCCATGATGTTGCAATCCATGAAAACTCCACTTCATCCTTTCTTGGGGTAGTTTTGCTAGGAACACCCACTGCAGGACCAAATAACCCCTAACGACTGTCCTGGAGGACTCATCCCAAGGTAAAAATGCAGCAGTGCTTACATTTCCCCAGCAAGGAAAGTTCAGGCCCACGTGTGAATTCCTCCAGGGACTGAAATTGATCCTTGCTTCTGGATTTAGAACAAATCCATGACTTTGCAGGAACACCACAGTTTTACAGCTTCTTGGTTTTTCCACGTGTAGCAGACGTCGAGCTGTAGGTCTGCTGAGCCTCAGAGTCTCAGCTTGGCTCCACAGAAGGAGGTGTGGGAGACGTGCTCCATTTCTCAGCCCTTGGTTCCCGGGGTCTTTTTAGATCCTGTTTAATGTTGTCAGTACTTGGCAGGAGCAAGACCAAAATGAATGCAGATTCCCCTGGGAAGCTGTTGCAGCTACTCGGGAGGTCAGAGTGGCTTGCTCCACCAGCAGTTTTGACCAGTGGTGCAGTGGGACATAGTGTAGGGGTTGGTGGATGTCCCTGGGTGTGTGGAGGGGAGCTACAATTTGCTTTCCAAATCTGGAGCTTCCTTCTTTTAAGTATCTGCGAGAGAGCAGGTGCTTGGTGTCAAAGGAATCCTTTAATTTGTTACAGTGCTTCTGAACCGAGGGGTTAGATGAAGTATTTGGAGAACTTGAGGTGGCAGGGGATGGGGAGGGCTCTTCAGCCTAACAGCAAAGGCCATACAGAAATCCATGGCAGAAAACAGAGACCAGAAACGGTGATGGGGGTTGTGAAGAGCACCGTAATAAATCGGTGGGGCAGTTACCCAAGGATGAACTCTTTAAGCCAAGATGAGTTGTCTTGTGAATGACAAGCTCTAGAGAGCACAAGCTGAAAGTGAGGTGGCCTTGCCCGAAGGGCCTGCTTTGTCCTGAGTTCTGCAAGCCAACAAAAGCCCGGGTGAAGCTCAGCCCTTCCTCCCAAACATGGTCCCTTACCCTTGTGCTGTGGCTGGTTTGTTTCCAGGTCCATCACCAGAGCCTACTACAGGAACTCGGTTGGCGGCCTCCTCCTCTTTGACATCACAAACCGCCGGTCCTTCCAGAACGTCCACGAGTGGCTGGAGGAGACCAAGGTGCACGTCCAGCCCTACCAGATCGTCTTTGTTCTGGTAGGTCACAAGTGTGACCTCGACACGCAGCGGCAAGTCACCAGGCACGAGGCTGAGAAACTGGCTGCTGCCTACGGGATGAAGTACATTGAGACCTCGGCCCGGGACGCCATTAACGTGGAGAAGGCCTTCACTGACCTGACTCGAGACATATACGAGCTGGTTAAACGGGGGGATATTTCCATCCAGGAGGGATGGGAAGGGGTAAAGAGCGGGTTTGTCCCCAACGTGGTGCACTCCTCAGAAGAGGTGGTGAAGTCAGATAGGCGGTGTTTGTGCTGAGCCCCCCAGCGAGGCGAGTGGTGATGGACTCTACTAACACGTACTGTGCGGAGCGAACGCGGGGGCACCGCGGCGCCCCCCTCGTGAACAGCCCCCTGTTGTTTTGGACACCAGAGCAGACCCCGAGGAAAGAAATGTTCTGTTCCAAATAACCCTTCCGAGCTGGGGGCCGCAAACCTGCAGGAGAGCGGGTGAGGGTGCGTGTAGCTGTTGTGAGGGGCCGGGGAGCGGAGGTGAGGGGCTGCAGGAGGCAGGAGTGTGTGCAGGGGGTGCCACTGCCAGCTCAGTGTGCAGGGGCACTGCACGTGTCCCCTTTGGAGTGACCCACGGCTCCGTGCCGGGTGTCGCAGCCAGGGTAGGGGCACTGCAGAGGCGTGGGGAGGGGGCAGACAGAGGGAAGGAACGCAGACACCTTCGTTCGTGGCAGCTGCTAGTGACCAGGGAGGTGTGAAGGCAGCACAGATACTGGTTCCTCATAAGGCCAACTCCACAGGAAGAGTTTATTGACATCTATGAACACTTCTGCGTTGTCTCATGTTCTTGAACCACGGTCGATAGCAAAGAATATTCTGTGGGATTTAAAGAGGAAAACAGTGGTTATTTTATTGGTAATTAAAATGTAAATTCTTCCCCTCCCCAGTAGTGCTTTCCTTGCTGTGCTGAACTGGGATTCTTAAGTGGAACTCCTGCTCCAGTAGTAATTATTCAATGCATTTTTACGCATTTATTCCCTAGGTGAGTACCTTGGACGTACCCTGAGTTCAGGGCTTGCCAGCAGAATTCAGTGATCGAGAGCATAAAGACAGAACCATGGCCTCCCCTGTTCTCTCTTAGGGCTGGGCTGTTGCAGCCAGGTGGGACACGCCAACATTTCTGTCCTGCCAGCAGCACTGTGCTGACATTTTTGGTGTCTCACCGGCCAGGTCACAGGGAGGAACAGTAAGGAGGGGAGGGGGGGAATGAAACCCAACAAAATAAAAAACTTGAAAAGCTTAACTCAGGTGCATGCATCAGACATCCTAAAAAAAAAGTGAGATTGACTTAAAGAAGTTAAATAGCATGGAAAGCTACAGCTTCCATCAGTAATTTCTGCTGTTAAAGGTGTCATTTTCTTTCTTGGCATCTGTGGATGAAGAGCACTAGCACTGGGAAGGAGGAGCACACAACAGAAGTGTCTGAGAGGTGGAAAGGAAAGCCACAGACAACCTCGAGAGTAAACTTTGTTTTCCTCCATGTTTTAATTTGATGAAAGAGGACCCATCTCAGGTTGGTCATCGTGGGATGGTAGCCCTGTTGCAGAAGCTGTGTGGAGGTGGATGTTTTCTGGGTGTGCCATCCACCACTTAGAAGCTTTGCTTCTGCTGAGTTTTAACTGAAGCTTTTGAAGTGCAGCAGGGTAGTAACTGCTCCTGGAGCAAACTAGGGAAGTTGGGCCTATTAAAAGCAGACAAACAAAACTATAGTGAGTTGTTTTCACTCACGTTTGCAAGCTTTATACTGCAAACTGCCGATGGGCAGGAGGGTGGGATTAGGTAAAAACCACAGGAAGCCTCTGGTGTTTGATTTTAGGCCTCTAAGTAGAGAAGAATAAAATACTTGTTACAGCTTGTTAAGCTACCCCAGCTATAAGTGTGGGTCTTCTTGGTTGCTGTGGAGTGTAGACTGTTTCTCCCCTTGACCCTGTTCTGATGGTCTGTAGCACATGGGCAGCTCTGTATGAAGAAGAAAACCCCTGTGGTTTCCATAATGAAGGTGTAAAAAACCCACCCAACAAACCCAACCCAACAACCAAAACCCTGAGCATAAATAGCATTTTTATTTTTGGTATTCTAGGCAGTTTCAGTTTCTGGGCTCTGCAGGGGAGCAGCAGCATTCTGCTGGGAGGGCACTGGTAGCAAATTGGTGGCAGGGAGGGGTGGCAATGGTCTAGCCTCTCACTTCTCACCCTGTTTGCTCTTGACTAGGCTCTAAACATATCAAAACCCTTGTGCTGAAGCCCCGTGAAGTCCAAGCAGATTCAGTTGTGGTCGAGTTGAGTGCCCTGAAGATGAAGAATTAAAAAATATACATATATCCCTTTACAAAAATCTCTTTCTAGGTGAGCAGAGCTGGAGAAGATTGATGCAGAGAGCACCACAGGAGCTTGCCTGCCCTGGGCTCTGCTGGGCTGCCGCCAGTGGAGCGTGCAAGGTTTGCGTGGAGCAGGTCTGGTAGTCATGGTGTCAACAGGGCAAGGACAGACAAGCACCCAAGGAGCAGGGTCTCCATTCTCTGAATGGAAGGTCCACCAGGCAGCAGGTCTCAGGGCCCAGCTGCTGCTGAGGTGTGAGGGGGGCTGCCTGGCCGAGGGCAGCAGAGCTGGGATGCTGCACTAACAGCAGTTAGAAGTTGGAGCAAATGGCATTTTAGCAATAGTGAAACTGTAATTCTCCATGCAGGAACCTGGCCAGCAGAGGAAAGATCATTTTTCACGAGACAACCAGTGTTTTATTTAATGGGTTTTGGACATTCCCCTTTACTGCTCCCAGAGAGAAATTCCAGAAACCCTAAACCCATAAGTGCATTCAGGCCTTCAGAGTAAACCTTCAGCTTAAACATACAAGTGTCCTAATTCTAAAGAGGAACGGTACAGAAAATAATGTACGTGGTCTTAACTACTTAGAGGTAATAAATGGGTATATTAAATGATAGAGAAATCATTATCTACATCTTTTTCTAATTCCTTGCATTTTCTAGACAGCTTATTAAAATATAGGAAATGTAGATTCATCTGTACAAAATTTGGAATGTTTTTTCTAAGATGAAGAACTTATAGGATATGCTAAGAATTCTTTTCTAACAACTGGTTTTAATGCTTTGACTTCTAGTGCAAGAGGGACTTAGAGAAATCAGAAGGTGATACCTTTCACAGGATAAAGGTCAGGAGCTCTTTTACTCTAGGACAAGAAGAAAAAGATAAAAAAAAAAAAGGCAAAAGCTAACTTTCTGTGGTCTCTACCACACGTTAAAAACCATCTGCATGTTAGACTGAAACGGCTCAGACCCTCCAGGCTAAGAGCTTACTAATACCCTGTCCTCGCTTTGTTATGCACTGTAACGACACGTGAACATAGCGCTGTATTTAGCTGTCTGTATGTGACTGAAAATATGCTTGTATTTAGCAAAATGGTTACCACGTGATAATGTGAAATTCAAAACTTGTAAAGAAGCTTTGGTGGTTTTTTTCCCCCTTTCCCCCTCCTCATTTTTTCTCAGTGAGGTGCCTACTGCCTGCTCTGCTCCCGCGCCGCAGCCGTCCCGGGGAGCTGTCGTGGCCGGGTCAGTGTCCACCACACACGTTTCTCTGAAGGAAGCCCACTGCTTAGATCTTCTGAAACAGTGAAAAAATGCAGTGGTAGAAACAGTTCTAAACCAAATCAAACCCCCCAAATCGCTCCCCCGCCCCCCGAGCCTTTCTGAGGAGCCCGCGGGACAGCAGCTAAAGCAGCTGCTGCAAACTGACCTGCTGGTCTTGCCCAAAGGAGCAAAGACTTGGCAGAGGACAGAGCAGCACTGGACAAGGACCCGGCCCCGGGAAGCCACAATTCTTGTCTACCAGTTCAGTTTAGGGATTTTTTTTTTTTAATTTTACTTTGTATCAGACCAAAAAAAACCATCCATAAACAAGATACAACGGGCACAGCCGCCTCCCATCCCCCCAGGCCAGACACCTTTTGGAGCCGCAGCGGCTGCACAGCCGTCCCCACCCCCGTGCCCAGCATGAGGTCACCGCCAGTCGCACACAGCCCTCCTTTCGCCGGGCAGAACTGCTTAACTCGCCGTTCCATTGTGCGCAACAAAGGGGCCGGTCGCTGCCCTCGCCCGCCCCGGCGGGGGGGACCCGGCTGGGATCCCAGTAATCCCAGCGGAAAGTGCAAGAGGGATGGGGGCGTGCGTGCAGCTCACTCCCCTGCCCTCGCTGCTGCTCTGTGGAAAGGGAGAAGCACACGCAGCCTGGAGCAGCAGCGCGCAGGCACCCCTACCCCTTCGTGGAGCGATACAAAGGGGTCTAAAGGTTTCTCTGCTGCAGCCCAAAGCACTGGAACCAACGGGATGGTCCCAGGGAAGAGGCCTGAAGGAGCCAAGCTCCAAGGGTGAGGATTTGCTGGTTTCTGCCTCTTTGCAGCCAGAGCACTGCCCAGCAGCCGCCTGTACTCACACCCTGGGCTCCCCCTTGCACTCCAGCCCGTGTTCAGCAGCTCCACTTCTCACTCTTGCTGCTCCAGCTGAACTCTTTCACCCCCCTGTCCCAAATTTACAGGGAAACATTCCAACAGACCACACATCAGATTCCCCACTTCATCCCACAAAGAAAGATGCACAAAAACAGGTGTTTGCCACAACTGTTTAGTTTTACTATTTTAATATCATGAAATAAAAGTACAAAAAATTTACAGGTATATCATTTCTTACATGAAGGTCGAACAGTTAACGTTTGCATTTATTTTGCAGCAAAACCTGTATTCTGTGTCACAGAATGTGAATATTAGCCACTGACATCACCACTGAGCATTTCATTTTAGAAAGAAACTGCAGAGGTACAAGGCAACAATCTCGCAAGGCTCCCCAAGAACCAGAAAAACGATTCCCACTGTTGACACCAGAAGTCACACTTGGCAAAGGCCCTCACCCCGTGCAGGTCTCACCCCCGGGGAGGCTGCGAGCGCTGAGACGCTGGGACTGGACATCCTGGCTGGGGGCTGTGACAGGGGCTCTCCTCCACAGGCTATCAGCAGTCGGGTGTCCTCGTTCAACACGTGTGCACATGTATGAAAAAGAACGGGGTGAATCCCTGCGGTCTGCAATGAGCTTGTGCTGGTCACTCCACGGACTGCTCTTCTCTGAGACAAGCCACAAACTGCTGCACGTGAAGTGCTGCGAGCTCAGTGACAGGCAGTTAACTGACCAGCAACTACCGCACCCGACGCCTGCAGGGCGATGCTGCCAGTTAACTGCCAGACAAAAGCCGGGACCTCACCGGGTATTTCCTAGCTCCTGGAACAGGATGGCTGCATGTCTCCCCAGCACAAGCAGGCTTGCACTTCAGCTGCACAGAGATGAAAGAGTAAACCCCTGCAGCCCCTTCACCTGCTGAGATGTCACACTCCATTTCATACATGTCCCTCAACTTTTCAGACGAGCTTTCAGGTAGAAATTTATTTAAGACAGACTGGTCTGATCAAAATACCCGAGTCCTTTGCTGGACTGTGTGGTGCCTTTTCAAATAATTCATTTCATGAAGCATGCATGAAACCAAATTTTGAGGTTACAAATAAATAAAATGGTGCTCACCATTAGTTTTTATATATTTTACCATTGACTGAAATGCTTTAAGTAACTCAGTCCCTTAAGAATGAACTTTGGGGGTGTTTAAATAAAAAATATTTGGAAATTGAAACCACATTTAAAATTGGCAAAACTATGCTTTGTTTTTGGAAGGGTCTTGCTTGTTTCTTCTCTTTACATCCCAGTTATAAACTCTAGCCATATCTGAGGGTGTGGAATTAAGGCAACAGCTTGTGCAATCAGAAAGGAAAAAAAGAGAAAGAAGAAAAGGGCTAAAGCAGCTTCCACAGCTGGGCACACTTCTCTTACTGCTAACAGTCAGCACAGAAACCATTTAATGAAAGAGCTGACGTGGTGCAAAGCCTTCACATGCAGGAGTACCAGTAACTCTTAATATCGGCACCACTTACACCATTTACCTGAAAAGCTCAAAAGAGGCATTAGAGAGAAGCACACTTTACTTTTATTCAGAGTTACTCCCCCCGATTCCAGTCAGCCTGCCCTCCTCAGCTCCATTCAGGCACCTGCAACTTCTGCAGCACTGAGAGAGCTTAAGTATCACCTTAAAAACCCTAAGTAGTTGTGCCTTCATTTATTAAATCTAATGCTTCACTTGATGGCTACCCCATCATCAAAACAGCCTTTAAGTATTAACCCCACACCCCTGGGGGTGGTTCATCATAGTATAAAGAAATTAAGAAGTGAAGCAATGCCCAGGCTACCCCAGGCTCACTGTGGGCAGGCTCAGGCTGCTTGGAGAACACTGCAGGAGAACATTGCTTGGAGAACACTGGGAAGAGTCACTTTGGCCACCAGCCCACAGCACCCATCTGTGATTCTAGCTCACGTTGGCTTCCACACACCCCTCTTCCCCCACAGCCAAAACCAAAGGATACTGACTTCTGTAGTGGTGAACTGATCTCTAAGGAAATCCAGGTCTTCCTCTAGAAGATCAAGGTTTCTTGTGGCTGTTGACAAATTCTTCTCTAACAGAGCCTGAGCTTCATCAATATCGTATTCAAGCATCACGTTGGCCTACAGGAAAGATTGAGAAGAGGTTTTTGCATTGTAAGGAATAAGCCACAGCAGGCTTACTTCAGGCTGTTGCTGCAACGTGGCACATGAACAAAAGGCTGTCCTGACAGGCCAAGACAACCAGATTCAGGATGAGCAAGGCCAACCCACCCGAGGCCTCCACCACATCAGGAACTGAGGAATAAACCCCTCCAGTGACACAAAAAGTTTCTCTTCCTACAGCTAAGCAAGAAGGGAGTTCCCTCCCTGCGTGTGGCACTCAGCCTCTCAGGTGTCAGCATCAGCCTCACCCATGTGAAGAGTGAGAGACCTCACGTTTCTTATCAGCACCTTCCACGTGCCACACGACTCCAGAAACAACTGGTCTGGCACTCAAGGCTGACCTTGGGGTCTCTGTGTGGAGCATGGACAAACAGCCTGATGGCCCCGGTCAGTAACAACAAACATCACTGCTTGTGCTCTTATCTACAGCTTTTCTGTAGGAACCAGCAAGAGGATGAACTTTCTGATACAAAATAAACCTGGGATGCGCCACCAAAGGCAACGGTTGTGAATTCTGATGCCAGTCTCCTGAAAACAACAGGTATCAGACAAATCTTCTCTTTTTATAACAGAAAAGAAGTGGGAGAGGTTGGGAGTAACTGCCCACTCAGTCTGCAGGCTGCGTGTGTCAGCAGTGCTCCTGTCCTAGCCCAGTGGGTTTGTCTGGCAGCCAACACGGGGATTTGGGAGCATCCAGGACTTGGAAGTCTCAGAATAAACATTAGCATGTTATCTCCACTTATAAGGAAGCCTCTGAATACAAAATATCCCAACCTGATATGGCTTAAGGAGTTAGAAATCCATGTTTTGAGCTCTGATCCCACTAGTCCTTAGCACAAATTCCACTCTAAATGCTGGCAGGTACCTGCGAGTAACAGAAATCCCACCTTTCCTTAAAATGTGCATGAAAAGGAAAAGCAAGACATGGAGTACAAGTAACGTGGAGCAGATGGGAAGCCCCTTGCCAGAAGAAGTTATTTTGCTGGGCAGGTTCCCATCCCAGGCAATGCTGGATGGTAATCTGAACCACAGAGTGACAGAAGTGACCAGGGAAACGTTCATGAATATGAGGTTTGGAAAAGGACAATTCTCTGACCTCTTACTCCTCAGGCACCAAATAAAAATCAAATGTGGAACCCTCCCTAGCAGGCTGAAATGGCCTCGTGGGGTTTGCCCTGCTGCCAGGGCATGGCTCTGCCACGCACACACAAACAGGGGGATGCCACTGAAGAACAGGGCACACAGCAGCACTGTCTTTTAGGAGTCATTTGAACAGTTTCAGAGAAAGTTCCACTGATACTTACCCCCAACCACAAACAAACTTTATCTGTAGGAGGAACTGAAGCTTTGCAGTAGAGATTATCTGCCAATAAAAATCTGGTTTCCATTGGATTTGTGGAATCCTTAAGACAAATGATAAAACGTAAAGTTGCTATTTTCACTGGAAACTTTATGTCAAAGAGATAAAAGTTACATAAAGAGCACACTTCTCTGCTTTTGGCCATTGATATAGTATTAACTTGGGTGGAACTCTAGGTACTTACTTCAACATTAAAGTTAGAGCTCCAAGAACAAAGCACTTTAAAAAGATATATTTAAAAACAATACAAGAATCTCTATAAAGTCCAAGCTTAGCTGTAAACTAGACACTATTAAAAGTGAAATTTGCATTGCAAACATTAACTTGGTTTTGAACTAGCTTTCAAAAAGTACTACATACCTTTAAAAACAATTCTGTTATTTATAAAGGCATATTAAGTGTGCTCTCCAAAACATTTCTTGCAATCTGTTCTGTCAGGGTGGAAAGGCAGTTAGCTTTTCTCATACTCATTAGATATTCAAAATAATTTACCTTTTTCTTCTGCATGTGTTTTAAAATTTCTAATGTCTGTTTAATTTCAGGAATCTGACTTTTTAGCCTGTGAATTAACAACAGTCATAATTTATTATTTTACAGAGACACAGTTTCCTAAACAAGTGATCAGTTTTATTACACAATTCAATCTCCATTTTAAAACTTGAAACTCTAACAGCTTTCCAGGCTTACAAATGCAGATTTGAAAGGCAGGGCACTGTAAAAGCAGCTAAAATGGTGTGTTTGTGCCCATTTCTGATCTGCCTGGAGGAGAGGGAGAAAGTCCCAGCAGGCATACAGATAAAAAAATACCATAGGTAAAACAAAACAAGTTTCTTTTGAGGGCTACAAAGTTGTCTAACAAACACTCAAGGCTGAAGCTACTGAAGAGATTAAATTATTAACCCAAAACTTACAGGCTTGACACAGGAGTCATGGACAAAAACATTCTTATTTATGCCAGGCTGACAAAATTAACAGTTCTTTTTGGCCTTAAAGGCTGAGGACCAACTCAGCACTTCTCTAAGTTCTTTTTAATGAAATCCTCAGGAAGAGGAAAATAAAATCACTGGGGAGCATTCCTCAAAGTACTGCAACTCCTAACATTAACTTTTCACTTTGTGGGATATTTAAAAATATTAGACTTATTAAAAAAATAAAATAGAACTGCACTAAACATTTCCCAATTCTGCAAAACCCAGGACTTACCTCCTTTTCTTTTGAGCAAGATTAAGTTCCAAAAATTTATACTTCTGGTACTGCTCATCCAACTTCTTAAGAACTACATCTGCTGTCTCATTTCCAGGCTGCTTCATAAAAGAGTCTACATCTTCCTGTAAGGGGAGAAAGAAATCCTCCCTGTTAGAAGAGTTTTACAGGACTCCCATGTACAGTCCTGCTACCACCTTACTGCAGCTGAGCCTGGGGGGGTTTTTTACATGTTAACAAACTTCTTTTGTTCTGGAGTTGAGTACAAAATTGTTTTGTTTCCCTTCTCAGTCACCTTTTCACTTCCCACTCCCCCCTTTTTCCAGCAGGGAATCAGAGAACAGGCAGAAGGATTATTTCATAACCATATTTGTGAGCACCTTGCCAGAGGTGCTTTCAGTCCTGGCTGATGTCAAATGTCACCTCCTGGGGAGGGACATCCTCAGACCATGGCTAAACTTTGGTTTTCTAGCTCTAGAGCAGGGAAAATGCTTCTCTGAGGCTAATCAGATTACCAGCTCTTTAGAAGACTGATGAAGGAGAATCCCAGCCTGACCGAGCTCGTTGTGGCAGAGGAAGAGGCAAAGGGGGAACACTGGTATCTGCTGGGTGGGCTTTATGGCAGTGAACAGCTCCTCCAGAAGCTCCTTCTACAGGCAGCAGGAAGCCAGGGAGACCTCTAGAGAATGACTCCAGGCAGTCCTGCAGGCAGCCAGTGCAGAGGGGCCCCAGGGGGCAAGGCTGCTGCCTCCTGTACAGCCCCCCGGGGCTCACCGCCCTGCGCCCGTCCTCACCCTCTTTGGCAATCCTGTCCTCATCTGTCCATCCAGCTCCCTACAGTGGGATGGGAGCCTACCAGAGGCCTCTTGGGCTTCCCCTTCTTGACTAGGTGCTCCCATTCCAGTTTCACATCAGAAAAAGAATGTCTTGGATTACTGAAGTACCACCAGACACAGAGCTGGCTCCTCCCGTTAGGACTCCTACGCTCTCCTGGCTACAGAAACTTGCTATGAAATTCCTGAACCTGGTCAGAAGTCACCCACCTCCCTTATCATGGAGGAAACCTGCAGGAGAAATACACAACTCCACAAGTCTTCAGCGGGCAGCACGACCCAGGTGGGACCACAGTACTCAAGAGCCACGTTTCAGACTCACTGCCTGAGGAATGCCATGAGCTACCTCAGCAACAACAGAGCCAGAAGCCTTTCTGCCTCCTGCTGAGGCTTGTCCAGAAGCTGTAACCACACAGACTTTAACAAAAAAACCCCAACAAGATTCGGGCAAGTGTGGTAGCAGCACGGCCCGAGGATGCTGTGAAATGGAACTCCCTCTTGTGGAAGCTATTCTGCCCGTGCAGATCACCCAAGAGAGAAAGAAAAGCAGGTGGGCAACAGCCTCTCCACACACTGCCCCAGCCCCACCTCTGCCTCAGCTAACGGCTCCTACAGACGTACAGAACCCAAGTCCTGTGTTCTTGTGGCACTTGGGGACACGGTTTAATGGACATGGTAGTGTTGGGTGATAGCTGGACCTGATGATCTTACAGCTCGTTTCCAGTCCTAATGGTTCTATGATCCTCCTGAAGCCAGGATACAGAGAAGTGAATCCAGGTGCCTGGTACTGGTGGTCTCCTCCCACTTCCAGTGCTCCAGTCCGAGGTGGGCTCAGATTTACCACCTGCAACTTCCAAGTCCCACTAGTTGGGCTTTGGCTCCATCTCACCCAGCTGCAAGGCTGCCCCACAGTCCCTCCTCTGAGCTTGGCCAGAACAGCTCTGCAGCAGAGCTGGGTGTCCATGCTGTTTGCATCCCTGCTCCACACTGCCACACAGCAGCCCCACTGCAGCACCACCCGACAGCTGCTGCAAGGCCCTGCCAGAACTCAGCTCTAGCTTCTCAGGAAGAGCATCCACTGGCAAAGCACCATTGATATACCATCAAGGCCAACTCCAAGCTGAGCCACATGAACACTGTGAAATTCCTGAAACCCAGCAGGACAGCACATTCCCAAGGACCTGTCCTCCCACTCCCATGGCTGCTAAGGAAGGCAGAAAAAGGCAGGCATTTGATTTGGAAACATCTGGACAACAGCTCAAAAGAAAACAAGAGCTGAAAGTTCTATCAGAGTGGCTTTTAAACCCCTGTAAAACCCTGAGTTAGTGCTTCATGTTGGCTGAAATCTGGAGTGGTGCAGGAACCCACAGACCAATGCCTCAGAAAAGGTGTCTGCCACACACTGAAGAGCCTCTACTGAATGAAGACACGTGAAGAAAACATCTTTGTCTTCAATAACTGGTAAACCTCAAAGAAAAAGTCTGATCCAGATGCACTGAAAGCCAGTGCACTGTACCCATCTGCTCAGGCCCTCTGCCCCAGGGAGACAGGAGGGAACACAAGCACCACACCTACAGATACCAAAACACACAGCAGACCCATTCACTCCTAGCAGAGTCGTCACACTGCTCCAGTCAACACATCGGGACAAGAGTCTCCCATCCAAGAAACTCTCAGTGACAAAGCAGCAGATAAACAAAGCACTCGGGGCAGGCACGTGACGTTTCAGGATGACAGCAAGCAGCCAGGTACAGTCAGTCTGATCAATACTTATTGATCAAATGAAATAAAGCAGCAATCAAAAGAGCACACCAGGAGCTAGCTCACAGCATGAAGTAATAATGTAATTTTGACATTACTTCACCGCACAGGGCAATTAATTCTTCATTTCAACCAGTCCACAGAATTATTAAACGCCTGGTAAATCACTTTTTAAAGTCGGAGAAACAAGTTGAGCCTGTTTTCTGGAAGGCAGACACTTCTTGTGTTTTGAGACGTCAGGAAAACCGCCCGGACCCCATGGTTGCTTCTGCAGAGTGATTCTGCTCAACAGTCAAGGGCTGGACCAGGGGAGGAAGCCATAGGAAAGGGGCTCGGAGCGCGGCCCAGCCCAGCACGGCCCGGCCCGGGTGAAACAGGCGCGGCGAGGCCGTGGCCC